CACGTATGAACTAACATGCCGGCAGGGCAGAGGAAGCACTTGCGAGTGAGGCGCAGCGAGGGCCGCCCGGGACCTGCTCGGGAGGCTGAGGCGCCACAGGCAGGCGGGTGAGATGACAGGAGCCGCCAACGGCAGGAGCTCTGAGCTTTAGCTCAGGTCCCAGAACCCTGGACTTTTAAAAAGCCATTTGGCTCAAGCGTCTTATTCTACAGATGGAGAAACCCACTCTCAAATCCGCACCGCCCACTCATCTGTAGAAGAGAATGAGGGGCTTTCTATAAGGTTCTTGGAAAAGTCCGATGGCATATGAACACACTTTGGGGGGAGACAGAGAAGTGGCTGTACCATTACGAAGTTCTGTGCTGTCAGGAACTCCTAACTCCAGAGGCTGGCCGTCTCCCTGCAGCATCGTGGCCAGGGGCCCAACCTCGAATGCCTCTCCTGCTTGGTGTAGCTCACGGCAACCATGCAAACCTTTCTGTGATATTGGGGGCAGTGTGTGCCCAGAGAAGGTTTCTTCTGTCTACAAACCCTCCCCATTCTCTTACTGCCCCTGGCTTATCGCAACAACTCTTGTTTCGTCTGTCTGGTAAGCTGTAGTCAACGCTGGCGCGTGTGCATGGGTCTACTTCATCCCTCAGAAAACTTGTACCTAGCCGACGAGTCCATTTAAAATTGTGGATACAGCTCACTGTGCTGTATAAGAAATGAGAATTCGTTACATACATCTGATGATCATTTACAGAAATGCATGCATATTATCATAGACTAGTGGGAAGATTTTTTTTAAAAAGTCATTTTAGTGGGGGCTCTTACAGCTTTTATCACAATCCACACATCCATCCATTGTGTCAAGCACCTTTGTACTTTTGTTGCCATCATCATTCTCAGAACATTTTCTTTCTACTTGAGCCCTTGGTATCAGCTCAATCCCCCCTCCCCTCCCTCATGAACCCTTGATAATTTATGCATGTTTTTTTCATGTCTCACAATGTATCCCTTCACCCACTTTTTGTTGTCTGTCCCCCTGGGAGGGGGTTATATGTTGATCATTGTGATCGGTTCCCCCTCTTTCCCCTCACCTTCCCCGTCCCCTCCTGTATCACTACTCTCATTATTGGTCCTGAGGGGCTTAGCTATCCTGGATTCCCTGTGTTTCCAGCTCTTATCTGTACATGCTCTGGTCTAGCCGGATTTGTAAAGTAGAATTGGGGTCATGATAATGGGAAGCGAAAACATTAAAGAACTAGAGGAAAGTTGTTAGTTTCATCGGTGGTATACTGCACCCTGACTGATCTTCCTTGTGATCCTTCTGTAAGGGGATGTCCAGCTGCCTACAGACGGGCTTTGGGTCCCCACTCTGCACTCCCCCTCATTCACAACGATAGGATTTTTTTATCTTTGATGCCTGATACCTGATCCCATGACACCTTGTGATCACACAGGCCGGTGTGCTTCTTCCATGTGGGCTTTGTTGCTTCTCAGCTACATGGCCACTTGTTTACCTTCAAGCCTTTAAGACCCCAGATGCTATATCTTTTGATAGCCAGGCACCATCAGCTTTCCTCACATTTGCTTATGCACCCATTTTGTCTTCAGCGATCATGTCAGCAGGTGAGCATCACGGAATATCAGGTTATTAGAACAAAGTGTTCTTGCATTAAGGGAGTACTTGAGTGGAGGCCCAATGTCCACCTGCTACCTTAATACTAAACCTATAAATCTATGCACATAGATCTATTTCCTCATTGTCATATAAAATATATTGACATATGTACATGCAAATATATATTTTACATTTAACATATGTACATGTAAATATATAAACATATAAAATGTATTTACATATGTACATGCCTGTATTCAGACCTCTATAAAAAAAGCCCTTTCCTTTCTACTTCTTTCCTCTACTTCCTTTTACTTTCCTCTTGTCCCACTATCATGCTCAGCCTTCATTTGGGCTTCAGCAATTCCTCTCAGTTCCATTGCCCTTGAATCAAGCTCCATTCAACATCCTATGCCCTCCTAGCCATCAATTTTAGATCGCTTGTTGTTCTCTTGTCTCTGGGTTTGTTGTCAAAGGAAGACAGTTTTTAAACCCTCAAACTCTGTGCTACTGAGTCCACTCTGACTCAGAGGCACCCTACAGGAGAGGGTAGCATTGCCCCTGTAGGTTTCTGAGACTGTAAATCCTGACAGGAGTAGGAAACCTTGTCTTTCTCCCTTGGAGTGGCTGGTGGTTTCGAATGGCTGACCTCGCGGTTAGCAGTCCAACCTGTAACCCACTACACCACCATGGTTCCTTAGGGAAAGACAGAGCAGCTCATTCTATTTCCATAAGTGCGACACCATCTTCATGGCGAGAAAGGTATGTGTGGGGGTGGGACAGAAGCAATCAACACCAACGGTAGAAATCTTAAGGGAAGTGTAGTGGTCGGAAAGGGGGTCCCCCCATCAATTTACATACAGAGGGAAGTGGGTGCCCTACATGTACAAGGTGCTAGGAAACCCCCCAGGTCAAAATAGCCCTGCTGAAAGTCTCCCTTGAGGTCTGGGCTCTTTACAAGATTAAAATTTTGTGTCATGCTTGTCTGTCCCCTGGATGGCAACCCGACTTGTGCTGGAGTTTTGATACAGAATGTGCTTATACCCTCAAGGAACTGCGACTTCCTCATTTCTTAGAAAAAGACCCATCTTCTTGTCATTCAGGTGTAAAACCTGCGTCATCATTGACTGTTTCCTTGCCGTTATGTCTTTGGACATTTCACAATCTCAATTCATTGCCTCCTTCTTGGAAGCATCTTTTGATTCTCTCCCTCCCAAACATTTGCTACTGACCCATACCTGTCTATCTGAACGGACACAGGGACTTCTGAGCTACAGTCTCTCTCCCCCAGATCTGTCAATATTCATCATCAAATTAACCCCCCACAAGTACATTCATTGAGCCTCTTCCTGCTCCCAAATTAGACACCATCACTCCCCATGGCCACGGGCTAAATAAAGTCCTGACTCTCGTGCTTCACCTGTCTGCAGCCTGTCCCTAGGCTTCTCAAGGACTACCTGGCTGGTCTGACCCCCAAATCAAGCACCTTTACTGAGTTACCACAGAATTCACAAAACGAAATTATGCATAAACTTTGCATCCAGTTTTGGTTCTTTTTAATCAATGGTTTTGCCCTCGGGTTTTCAAACCCAATAAAATGTCTGCTAACGTGGGTTCTACCCTCCAAATCCATCTTTGCGCTTGCTTGTCCAACAAACTGCCAGACAACCAACTCCTGGGCAGACGAGGCTGTGCTGCTGGAGCAGGGTCGACGGGCTCTTCCCTCAGGACACCGTAACATCACCAGCTTTAGTTGTGCGGACGGACGGGGTTCACTGTGTTCCGGACAAAGCAACTGCCCCGTCTGAGCTCCCCGCCCCCATTGTTGACGGCTATCTGCACCACCCACCCCACAGCCACCTGGGTTGACTGCTTTTCATGAACGTAATATGTGTTTATTTAGTGGCAATCACCCATCGATTCTGGAAGTACAATGTGAACTGAGGGGGGTGGGAACTCTCCCCACCTCCTGAGGTCTCTCCTGGCTGGGGAAACAAGCTCCTGAGCAACATCGCTTCTCCATCACCGATCACACCAGGGGTCACCACATCTAGTTCCACTGAGACGACCTCCAAGAGGACTTGCTCAAATTGGACTTCCTGCCACTCCTCCACATGCTGGAGTCCTTCTTACATACTTTGGTGCTACGGGGAATCCACGGAACACAGCCTTTGTCCTATAAGAACTAGTCCTAGGACTAGATGTGCTACTGGGCTAAAGCAAACCGTAAGGGCAGCAGAGAGGAGGGATGCCTTCTGATTCCTTAAATGAGGGAGGAGGAATAACCTAGATGCATCAAGGAGACATGAGGAAGACCCATGTTCCGATTAGAAGATGCGTAAGAGGAAACAAGGGGCCCTGGTGGCGAAGTGTGGGTACATATCGGGCTGCTAATCACAAAGTCGGCAGTTCAAATCCACCAGTTGCTCCGCGGGAGAAAGATGAGGCTTTCTATTCCCATCAAGAGTTACAGTCTCAGAAACCTGCAGGGGCAAGGCTACCTGGCCCTTTAGGGTCACTATGAGTCAGCATTGACTCGATGGCCGCGAGTTTGGTTTTTGAGGAGAAAACACACACTCACGACTCTTGCGGGCTGCAAGGGAAGCAGGCCCTCGCTATTAAGCCAGATACCATCACACGGAGTCTGACTCCCAGAGAAGCCACGTGCGCAGAGTAGAAAACCCTGCTCCACAGCATTTCCAAGGCTATAAGCCTTTATAAGCAGATCTCCAGGCCTGCTTCTGAAGGGCCTCTGGGTGGGTTCAAACCCACCAGAGGACTCGCTGCTGTGCACTTCACTGTTTGTGCCAACCCCAGGTGCTTGGTCTCCTGAGCAACAGCCATCAGTGGGCCTCTATGAGTTCTGAGCTACTTGCTGGCTGCCGAGACGCACCCCAGTCAGCTTCTCCCCTGATGCCGGGGATGCCAGCGAGGGGAGAGTAGCTGCTTTGTACCAGGGGGAGAGGATCCATTTCTACGGTGAGTCTCTTAAATTGGACCTCTTAAACACGCTGAACGACAGACTACTCACCAAACACCAGAAGAGAGACGGTAGTTCTCAGATCTGAGAGTTCAACCTCATACTCGTCTTCGTCGGATGCCGTCAGATTGAAGATGGTGAGGTTCCCCGACGTCCTGTCCAGAACAACCCTGCCAGTAAATGGTGGGAAATCCTTCTCCTGAGAGTCTCCAAACCATTCTACAACTTTATCTTTCTGTTTCTTCCAAGTGATGTCTCTGAATGCTTTGCCATCCAGCGAAGGACTGAGAGTCACGTTCTTGCCCACCGCGCCATAGGCTGTTATGGAAACACCGTGGGTGACACCTAGGAGTGAAACAAACAAACAAAACGTCACGGAAATGGTCATTGTTGATTCAAAAAATAAAACAAAAAACATGTTCCAAGTTGCTGTTTCTTGGGGGGCGGGGTAGGTCCTATATGGAGGTCAAAATTAGGCATCACTTACTTTTGTCCTAAAGTGACACCCAGCTGACAGTAACTAAAAGTAGAGCATTCTTAACCACGAAGGGCTTACTCGCCATTTCACCCTCCCTCCACGGTTCTATCAGCATAGAGTTCACCTATCACACAGCTCAATGGTTGCCTCCCACCAAGAAGGGTGGTACAATCACCACAGCACTCAGCATGAGAAGGTTTCCCTTCTTCTCATACTCATCATCATCATCGGAAGACCTTACTCTTGGGTTGGGGGCGCACAGAAACCAACGTGCCAGGTTCTTGGGGCAAGAGGTGACCGCAAGCCCAGGGCCTGTTCTACCCTGCCCGACAGGTTTGTGATGAGTCAGTACTGACTCCGTGGCAGCCACCAAGAGGGGCTTGACACTCGGCTCTGACCGCATGGGGAAGCTACAAAAAGGGTCTACGCACAACACAGACACGGCCTAACTTCTGCTTCCGTAGGTGTCTCCGTCTGCAGAGTGGTGGAGGGGTGGGTGCATGGGGGCGTGTTGGAGGATGGAGGCAGAGAAACCAGAATAGAAGTCACCTCCATCACACAGAACAGAGTGGTGGGCTGAACAGGTCAGCCCAGGGGCTTGGTACTGAGGAATGTAAACAAGTAAGAGTCCCAAGCCATTTGAGGGTTTGAATGAACACGATGTAGGGACTGGATGTGGGGGGTGGAGTAGGGAAGAGTTCGCAGTGACTGTGAGGAGGGCCTCGATCTTGGCTAACTCTGAGATGTCACTCATGGGAAACAATGGTTGGGAAGCACCCGAGGGTGTGATAAAGCTTAGGGATTCGGGTTCTGGGTTCAGTGGTGCGTTGAAGCCAACCCCCATGGACTCTCTTGAACTGACTGCTAGTGCTTCTGCCCGACTCAATTCTGTGAAGGCTGGGTGGTAATACTTACGGTATAGGCATAGGCTTCCAATCAGATCACTCCACCCCCCATATCAATGATTAGACATTTATCCCCACCACTGGCTTTCTAATTAAGGGAGAACAGAAACTGCTGACAGAAGGACATTAAGGCCCTAAATGGTTGATTCTGTAAACTTCTCAGCCATAACCAAATACCTTAGGAGGAAATGAGTCCCTGGGCTTGGGGGACTTAGGACCACAGTTTCAGAGTGCACCGAAGCCAATCCGACTAACAAAGGCAATGCTCTACATCCTGCTTTGGTGAGGAGCTACTGGGGTCCTGAAGCTGCGGGTGGCCATCCAAGATGCAACTACTGGTGTCTCCCTGTCCGGAGCAAAGAAAACCAAACACCCAGGGAACAAATGAGTCCAAGGGGTTAAGGGACCCATGGACCACATTCCCCACTACCCTGATCCCCCAAGAAACGACATGCCACGAGGGACAGCTCTGCTCAGCTCAGGGTCCCGCCGAGGTCCAGGCAGGGAGGGAGCCAACTGTACAACCAAGTCCAAAATCAGAAAGAAGACGAGGCTTACTGGTCTGACAGAGACGCAGTCTAAGGCGCCCTTCAGTCACACTTCACACCTAGGGCTCCACTCACGAAACCAAAACCCACACAAACATGAAACAGACCCATTGGATCCATTCGTTCCCTGGGTGTTTCCTGGGCCTTGGTGAGTGTTTTCTGTGCTTTGCTCTGCCTCCCCCACCCCACCCCACCCCCGCCCCCGACACATGTTAGAGAGCTCCCCTTGCATTCTTTCCCCGCGCCCTCTTTTAAATCTCACAATCCAGTCCCCAGGATGGTTGAAAAGAGCAAGCCCTTTCTTGTTTAGAAAGCTTTCGCTGGTGGACTGGGTGGAGGCTGATGGAGCAGGCCATCCATTTTCCACTCAGTGGTCCACACACACAGTGCACTCGCTCATTCTGACAGCCCCTCCCTGCGTGCTCACAGGCCCCTCCTCTTCCTGGGTCTCTGCCCTCCCTCCCTCCCTCCCTCCCTCCTGTCCTAACCCTCTGAACCTTGCCCTGGAGTGAATGCTGCCCTTTGTCTCTCCAGTGGTTGATGACTCTAAAGTGTGTGTCTCCCCAGTGTGAGCGTTCCCCTAGTAGACCTGTCTGGGGCTTCACTGAAACTGCGTCAGGAGGGTGGGTTCGCGTCCACACCTGAACTATATTTCTCAACCATAAGCTGCATCCAAGCCACGGAGGATGATTTCAGAGATTTCCCTCAGCCCCAAAGAACCCAAGGTCTGAGGACTGAACCGCATCAATGCAAGTTTTGTTTCTTTCTTTCTTTACATTTTCAACTGAAGAAAAAGGGGTGCACTGTAAGTGCTTTTCTTCAGTATCGGGAAAACAAAAGAAATCAGGACGGGCCCAGGCAGGGCTGTCAGGTGGATCCGGACAGCGGCACCACAGCCCTGGCTTGGTGAGCGAGTGGGTGAGAGTCGTCGTCGTCGTCGGAGCAGGACAGTGGTGGGGCTCTGCCAGGTGCTTTCTGCTGAAGCGCTGACTGTCTCCACATTCCTGGGATGCAGAGGAGATCATCCTTGGGCCTTACAAAGAGTCCTTAAGCAAGATGTCTTGAGTTACCCCCCCCCAAAAAGAAAACAAAAAAACAACTGTTGCCATGACCTTTGTTCTTGGCCCATTTCTGCTTTGTCTCCAGGATGGTACTGGGGAAGCCACGTTTCATCTCCTGTGACGGTGCCCCAAGAAAGGCTTCAGGAGCTTGAGTCTAATTCTTTGAAAACAGCATGGAAAGCTCTGCTCTGTGGCTGATTTGGGTGCAACCGTTTAGGGGCCCATCAAGAGAAGGTTTGCTCGACCTTAATCTTGCGGTCAGAACCCTGCTGTTGTTAAGTGCTGTCCACGTCAGTCCTGTGCACCACAGAAGGAAACACGACGTGCTCCCACTCATCCTCACATCATTGCCACGTTTGAGCGCATGGCTGTACCTACTGGGCCAACCCACCCCATGGGGAGTGTTCCTCTGCGCTGCCGAGTCTCTACAAAACTCACGCGGCGATTGTGAGTGAGTGGAACCCGTTCAGACGTCTACAGTGTGAGCTATTGCTTCTTCTGCTCATCATCCGCGTCCTCTTCAACGAGGGCAGAGACAGATTCTATTGTTTTTCCTTGCAGATCGATGCGGATGGCCTGCCGCTGTTGGCTTCCTCTACAAACCACTCAACCATTTGTTGAAGTATGGTTTCTTGGAGGCACTGTCCCCATAATCTTTGTAAGCCATCCAGGAGCTCACCATCCTTCCACCCAAGCTGCACCGTGAATGCCATGTTGGCTCTCGCTTCGGGTCTAGCAGAATTCATGAGGCTCTAGCAGAATTCATGCGGCTCTAGCAGAATTCATGCGGCTCTGATGGGGACGCTTTTCAAACTCAGCTCTGACCCTTCTTGGTGCTCCAAACTAGGTCCTCTTCAGCCATGCTGCAGCAAATTAGCATGACTTTATTGCGGCGCGAACATTTTTTTGAAATTCCTACAGTATTTCCACATGGGCCTTTGGAGGGCTGGTCGTGGACCTGAGAGCACTGGCTTTGCTTAGTCTTGTCCTTGCTTGGCTGATGAGGGGCCACCTCTACCATTCCACAGTGTACTCCATTCACGTCACCACGGTCGGCACGACTCTGAGAAAGCAGCCCTCCTCAGCCACATTTCCAGTGCCTTCCGATCCGAGGAGCCGATCCTCTGGCACTGTCTCCAACAGTGTTCTGTTTCCACGCATTGGGCCTTCCATATCTGACATGGCTTCAATTTTATGCATCAGGTTTTTCAGCGGCTACTTCCTTCTTCATCGTCTCTTCTCAGTCTGGAAGCTCCCCTGAAAACTATCTACGTTGGCTGACCCTGCTGGCATTTGAAATACCAGTGACGTAGCTTCCAGCATCGCAGCAACACACAAACCACCGTCTGAGAAGCTGGCGGGCAAGCGGGCATGTGGGAAGGCAGAGGAAAAGCCTCAGGTGATTGTGCACACACGAGCAGGTCAGACTGACCGAGCATGCCTGTGAGCGAACGATGGCACGAAGTAGGTGGTGGAGCGAGAGAAGTGGCACTGATATGAGCTACCACTTCCGGGCTGCACACAGAGGGCTCTGTCTGTCCGTCCAGAGAGGCATGTCCCCTGGGCTTGAGAAGCACAAGGAGAAAGAAATCAGGAATTCGGAGCTGTTGGAGAAAAGGGAGGATGCAAGAAAGGAGGGATTTCAACTTACAAGAAAATAGGCTTTGAGTCATAGCGGTTTTCCGCTGGAAAACTAAAATGTGTGAAAACCCTTTAGTCACATTGCTCCCATTTTCAAGTGATCCAGCACAGAGAAAAATTGGAGAAGACATTATTGAGCGCCTACTCTCTGATC